TTGATTTTCTGCTGACTGTCCTCGCTCTATGGAGGGTATGTCCTAGCTCTATGGGGTTGAGCTGTTTTGCCAGTGCAACTGCCACAAAGGAAGTGTAAGAGCAGGAACCCTAAAAATACGAAGATTAGCTAATTGAGGAGCAACAGCTCAGCAATCCCAAAACAATGAGCCTGTAGTGATAAAACTTGAACTGATCTCCCCCCAAAATTAAGATAAGGACTTCAGCCAAACTGTATCCATTTTGTAGAAGTGTTGAGCAACATTGCACAATGGCTGGGTCTGACTGCCCTCCATCATCGTACCAGCACCTCTCGCAGCTTTTACTGGAGCCAGGGCAAACGCAAGCCACCAGCTCCTCCGGCAGCTAGGCCATCCTGGGCCAGGTGTTTCTGGACTGGGGAAGCTGTCAAACTTAAGCCTGTGGGTTTGAACACACCAGCCATTCTGCAACGTTGAAGATGGAGGTTAGCATCTTAAGGCAGGTCATATTTTTCACCTCGATTACTTGACAGTGTCCCTTTGAATATCAGAACATGACAGTGTCCCTTTGAATATCAGAACGCAACAGAACAGGTACTTCTCTGGCAGAGAATGTGGGAGGTGAAACACTGGCCAAGAAAGCTGACTTACTGAGAACCCGTGTGAAACAGCATGGTTTCTGAGGGCACTGTACCTTTATCTGACCAATCTTACTATCTACCAAAGAGTGCTTTGGCGGAGGGGAGGGAAGGGATGTTGGTGGGAGGAGGGAGAGGGAAGGGGCAATTCCGATCATCTCTAAAAGCAGCTACCCCCAGAATGAAGGTGTTGCAATGAACAGTCTCTGGAAGAACTGCTTCTGATCCACAGTAGAGAGAAACCTGGCCAAAGCAAGCAAACACAGCAGCCTTTTGCCCCCATACCTGTCCTGGAAGCTGTCCTCATTCCAAGAGATAGGTAACTGTGGTGGTTTTGGGAAGGGGGAAGCACACAGAGACAAAGGGACAGCTATCAGACATAACGTCGTTTCCCTCACTGCCCTCCACTCAGTTAATATGGAGATGTCAAATTCCTTTAATTTGGCTAAACGCTCAAAGTTTATGAGGTCAGAAGCACAACTTGCCGTGAAAGAGTGGTGTGATCTAGTACTCTGAGCACACAGGACTCTGCATACTCTCACTCCAGCTCTGCCACCGACTCTGTAGCCTTGGGCTGTTTGGCTCAGTCCCCCCTCCACGCAAAGGGGGAATAACAATACGTACCTACCTCACAGGGGTGTTGTGAGAATCCACATGGGTAAAGCCTGTTGAAGTGCTAAGTCTACCACCGATAGTCACGAAGCGCGTGGTGGGGGTGAGCAGCGCTGCCCTTTTGCTGGTTACAGTCTGAATCACTCAGCGGGAGTCCCATCGGCCCTCTCCTGCTTGGAGATCCTCCTTGATCCGAAGTGGAGGGTGTCGTCCGAGTGCCCTCTCCTCCATTGCATGACATTTTCAGTGGCTGTGAGGTGCAGGGTAGTGACAGACATGAAGTCCTACTTGACCAGGGATTTGCTACAACGTTTTCTATATCTGTGGGGTTTGTTGGTTTGGTTTTTCCATATATTGTGCTTAGAAATAAACTTTCCACTTAGGGCTGGCGGTTCGGGGTCTCTTCTGTTGCATGGCAATGTATACAAGTCTTATTGTCTGTCTTACTGTGCAAATGATCCCGCAGCCCAATTTCAGAGATGGGTATGGTCTGAGCCTTTTCATACCGGCATAAGACTCAAAAGCCTGTCTAGACTGTTTAATATTTAAACAACACTATGAACTTGTCAATTGTATGTGTTCTGTGCAATACGAAGCATGTCATTAGCTGGCTTGATGGGCAGAGGGGCTAAAGGAAGGTCAAAACTTGTTCAAAGAGTTTCATACATGTGCCAGCATGGAGCCGAAGGGCTGCCACCAGCAAAGCAAATGTGGGGAAGCCGTTGGAAACTGTTTTCAGAACAGTTTACTCCAGAACAAGGTACTTCTGAGTTTATGAACTTCCAGGCTGCCAGCCTGACAGAACAAGTGCAAATTTAGTGTGGGGTTTGGGGTTTTGGATTCTCTTTTTCTTTCCTCCCCAAAGTATTGATGGCAGAAATACTGATGAGGGTCTCTTCCTTCCATAGCACAGTTCTCTCGTTTCCCACAACCTCCTTGTGCCATCCCCTTTGTGCTACTATGCAGGACTTTAAAAGGTGCAAATGGAGACAGTACACTCCCGAGACATGCAAGATACGTTGCGTATTGGGGGATTCTAGCAGACAGAAGAGATGGGGCAGAGCTATGCTACAGAAGGCATCTCTTCTCCAATTCTTTCCTCTAGTCTTGTCTGCTGGGTTCCTGAAGAAACGTTCTCTGTGTTTTGTTTCAAAGCAGTCAGATCAGCTTCCACCAACAAACAAAGCTTGCAGAGTTTGGCAGCTGTTTCTCCCAGTGAAGAAAATTCCAGGTCCTATCACTGTGGAGACCCCTCAGTTCTTGGGCTTTGTGGTCCTCCAACACCATTTGGGGGTGGTCAATGTGGAGGACTGTGTTCAGCCATCATCAGAAATCGTGTGTGTGTGGTCCTGCTCATTCTTGTGATTTCTGCTAGTCCCCTGATTTTCCATCAGTTTTGACAGGTCTTTCTGGTAATGCTCTTCTGGTTATGCTCTTCAGAGGTGTTTTGCCCTGTGTCAGTTGCCAATGCTATTCTTGCCTACTGAAACATCAGTGCCAGCCTCCAGCTCCCACAGCTCTTCCATTCTTGCCATCCAGTCTCTTGCTAAATATCCACTGCCAAGTTCAGACTCTCTTCCTCTGTGCCTGCAATGGCTCAAGCACATGCACTAACCCTAGGGTCATCAGAGACCACAGGGACAATTAAGAGTCTGTATCAACAGTCAGACTCCATAACCATCAGTCAATCCTCTCTGATATATATATTCCCTTTGCCAGTCTCAGTGCCTGTTGTTCATTGGTTGCCACAAAAAAACCCATAATGCTAGCAAGACCCATATAACCAGCTAATACTTGGTTTCCAATTTCAAATGTCAGAAGTGATGGACTGTTTTTCGAGTAAATCAGGTGTGTTCCCTATTGTGGTTTCCCAAGCAAGATGCTGAAAAGGTCCATGTCTTACCTTACCATGATGGGCGACCCAAGGAAAGAACAAGTCAGCAGCATAGATTTGAGTTAAGAGAGGTGTCAGCTGTCCACTATGTTTTCACTTGGGCAGACAGGAAAATACTACTCTCATCTGCCAGGTCCCTGACCTTTCTCAAAGCCCTTGTATCTGGCAGCAGTAAAGCATCAGAGCCAATGCCTGTAGATGGAGGACAATTCTGAAGACTTTCCTATTCTGAAGACCATTCCCTCCCCATGTTGGTGGTCAGTCATCCAAGCATCTTCTCTTTGTTTTCCTCAAGAGAAAAAAAGATTATTTTGACTAATCAAAGTACTGCTACTCTTCAGTGTAGGAGGAGGCTGCACCCTTAGCACTTCCAACCTGTGGTTCATCTACCAGGACTCCTGCACATCTTGTGAGAACACATGGCCAGAAGACGTAGTCCTTCCTTTTACTATTATATATTGGTCAAGCACCTGGAGAGAAATAGTCAGCAGTGCAATTGCCTTAATAACTACTGGCTGAGTAT